GTCAGTTGTCACTTAGTATGGGAGTTGCTTTGGATCTGAATCTTTTGTCATGGATTAGTAAAAAAGTAACTTAATTCAGTAAGATAAGAGCGAGACATTGGATGGATGACATATGTCCCTAAAAACTAACATTTCTATCAGAATTTCCATTCCTAGAACTATCAGCATTTCTGAACATGCAATTCATACAGTTTGGGTTGATCTTCTTCTGGTCACAGTGCTTGGGAACCTGCTCATTATTCTGACCACCAACTCTGATTCCCACCTCTACACTCTCATGTACTTGTTTCTCTCTAATCAGTTCTGGACTGACTTCTAATTCATCTTCACCATGCTACCACAGTTTATTACAAATATCTAAACTCATAGTAGGGTCATCTACTATGTGGGTCATCTGACAGGGATATCTGTTTTTATCATTTTTGAACATATGGCTCATAAACATCTGTTACCTCCTGCATTACCCAGACAGTATGAAAAGTTGTTGTGTATTCTTCTTAGTTCTTGTTTTTCTGAAGAGTTTTTTCTTTAATCCTTGATGCAAAATTAGATTGTCTTACATTTTCCTATTTTGAGGATGATTACTTTTTTCTGAAACTCCTAACAGCAGTTAGAATGTATAAATCTTTCTGTACTTGTTGTTCTTTATATTTTTTGTATGTATGGATAATATGCTCTGACTGCAATTACCTATAACTGGTTTGTAGCTAATTCTTATCTTGTGCATTAACTAGTCATTATGAATCTCACCATGTATCTTCTTCATTCTGGTGGATACTTAATTTAACCTCTTGGACTCCTTCAGAATTTCAATGCCTTCAAATTTGCTTTCTTTCAAGATGTGTAAACTTCTTATTTCTTCACTGCTGTGCCTAGGTGTAAATATTGCATGTTCCAAATGTTACTAGGAAAACTGGACATCCACATGTAAAAGACTGAAACTAGTTCTGTGTCTCTCACCCTGTACCAATATCAACTTAAAGTGGATCAAAGACTTTATTATGTGGACTGAAATTTTGAAACAACTACAGGAAGTAGTACAAAATACATTGGACCATAAAGTCATAGGCAATACCTTCCTAAGTAGAGTGCCAGTGGCTCAGTAACTAAGAGAAAAATTAACAAATGGGACACCATCAACCTAAAAGATTTGTGCACAGCAGAAGAAACAGTCAGTAGATTCAAGAGACTGACCAGATGTTGGGAAAACATCTTTGCTAGCTCTTTATCTGGAAGGGAACTAATATCCAGAATGTATAGGAAACTCAAGAAACTCAACCTCCCAAGGAATCAACATCACAATGAAGAAATGAGCACACAAATTGAATAGGGGATTTTCAAAGAGGTACAAATGGCCGATAAATGCATGAAAAATATTCAATTTCCCTGCCTAGAAAAGAAATGTAATTCAAAACTACACAAAGATTTTGTCTTACCCCAGTTGGAATGTTCATCTTCAAGGGCAAAAACAACAACAAATACTGGCAAAATGCAATGAAACAGGAACCCTTATACACTGTTGGTGGGAATGCAATTCAGTACAACCCTTATGGAAAGCAGTATGGGGATTCCTTAAAAAGTTAAAATAGAACTACCATTTGGTCCAGTACTACTACTGTTGGGCATGAAACTGAAGGAATGTAAGTTGGGATACAACAGAAACTCTTGTATATGAATGTTTATCCCTGCACTGTTCATAATAGCCAAGATATGGAAACAACCCAGATGCCCTACAACTGATAATGGATCAAGAGTATGTGGTGTATATACCTACATATATACATATATACAAAATGAAGTTTTATTAAGCCATAAGGAAGAATGACACAATGTGATCTGAAGGTAAATGGATGCAATTGGAGTACTGTGTGTTAAGTGAAATAAGCCATATTCAGAAAAACATCTCCTATGTGGAAGATATATCCAAATAATACACATACACAAAAAACTGACATGATAATATACAAACTTATATGTACAACATATTTGTAATAGTTGAGCTAATCTATGGAACTCAGAGGATGAGGGAAAGGAAAAGAGAATGAAAGAGCATCAACACATAACACTTGTGCAGATAAAGGATAAAATAATATGTATTGAAGCTGTTGAATAATGGGGAGTCAGAGGGAGGGGGTAAGGGGGAGTAATGGAAAGAGTTGAACTGACAAAAATAAAGTATGCTAATAGTGAGGATACAGGAGAAACCCCTTTGAACAGTGACTTTGGAATTGATAACAAAAGATAGGACTATAAACTAGGTACAGTGTGTGGTCAGGTACTTGTGTCTGGGGTGAGGGTGAATAGAGTATATGATGGTGAGACAATATGGTTGATGGACTTCATGTACACATGAAATAGAACATGAAGCATCTTGAAATTGCTTTAAGTGGGGTGGGGAGGGAATTGCATGGTGAGATAGTGGTGATGATCTAAGCAATATACAATATAAGTCTAATTGGAATTGTCTCAATGAATCCCCTTTGTACAATGAATATATCCGAATAAAAATGAGAAAACATATTGCCAGTTCTGAAACATTCAATTTACTTTTTGCCATCTCTTGATGTTTTCCTGTGTCAAGAATCTCTTTTTAATATAAAATTGTTTCATTCTTACAAAACTATCTGTGGTGGGTATCATTCAATGTAAAAATTTCCATCAAAAGCATTGTTTCCTCATCATCATATCTAATCTAACAGTTGGTATAGCCAAGTAAGTTGTTTTGCTTTCCTTACAAAATTTTAAAGGAAAAATTTCATTCCTATATAGTATTCCCTAACCACTCCAGAAGTACTTTAAAGGGAATGATGAGGACAAGGAGGAAGCTGACATCATTCCTCACATCATGATTTGTATTTGAGTGTCAGCATCTGAATTATGTGTTCTTATTTCACATGAATCATCTTTCAAAAGTCGTGTTGCCCATTTTATATTATAGAAAAAGCAGAAGAGAATTTTATGTAACTTCTATCATGTTATTAGGTCAAAAAAAGAGAGAAGTGATGTCTCATTCGGTGTATCTGTACAGGGACACAGTGGGCCCTACCAGAAGAATCCAGGCATTTTGTCTACTTAATTAAAAAAAAGGAGAAATAACATCTCTTGAGTCACCCTAAGTGTCCATTAACTGATAAGTGGATAAGGACACATTGTAGTATATTATTCAGACCAAAAGAAGAATGCAGTTATGTCATTTGCAGGAAAATGAATGGGACTGGATATCATCATGTCAAGCAAAATAAGCCAGACTGAGGAAGGCAAATGTCACTTGTTCTTATATGTGGAATATAGACAAAACGTAGCATGTGTATAAAACAAGACACTTCGAGGAGGGTAAGCACTAAAGGGATAGAGGACAAAAGAAGAGTATGACGGGTTATGATTGTCATAAAAGCATTTCATATGCATATATGAAAAGTGGAATAATGAGGCCCATCCAAATTATTTATATAGAGAGGAGGAGGAAAAGAAAGAGCGCTAGAGAGGATGAATTCAATAAAGGGATTGAATGCATGGAAATATCACAACAATACTGCTTTGTACAATTAACAGATAATAATAAATAAACTTTGGTTCTCATTGTTCAGTTCTTCCCCTAAGTTTTGGAACTGTGAGTTCAGCACCACCACATTGTTAGAGAAAGGGACTATGGGCCCCAGTGATGTGCACTGTGGTAACCTTTATCCAGAATCCTTTCACGGACACCTGAGGACCTGGAACATTAAAAACACCATGTGGAGTCTTTAAAACCAACATAGCAATCTCAATAGCTCTGAAATCTACTTGGCATGTAGGTCTGAAAATGTGGCCCTGCAAGTTATGCCTCCTTGTACACCTTATATTTGTGGATTTCTGCTTTTAATCTTCATGATTAATCATAGGAGAATAGTCATCACCTGCTTATTAGAAGGAGAAATGTGAAGGTTTTTAAATGTGACATCATTTAGTTAAAGAATTTGAAATTTCTTGAAATGGAGGTTTGTGATAATTGCACAACAGAATGAATGCAATTAGTATTTTTGAGCAGTATACATAAAATGAAGAAATTAATAAATTTCAATATATATTTTACTGCAATAAGCAATGGAAATAAAACACAGGCAGATGTTTAAAAGAAGAAATAAAAATACAGATCCAGTGAATAGAATGAGAGCTTCATCTTGAATAGAGGAACAGCAACAAAACTTTGGTGGCCAATATTGTACTATTTTGACTTCTCCATTAATTTCAGGAATTCCTTAGAGATTGTGATAACATGGACAGATTTTGCTAATTGTGAGCACAGGGCATTGAGCCCTAAGGTCGTATAATAGTCAATAATCAGCCAGTGACCCTAATTCATCAGTTTGCCTCATCCCAATGTGTTTCCATACCAGGGTCTCCTCTTCTTATGGTTGTTGCATCAGGAAGTTCGTATTGGACACTCTGCTCCCATCGAGCCTGAGGAAAGATCCAGGCTTCACCAGGCACAAGGCAAGGGAATTACACTGGATCTGCCTTCCTTCCTCATGAATCATCAGAGGACCAACCTAAACCAGTAAGTGCTGGGGGTGACTTGGATGGTGGAGGGCCCATTGGAAACCTTTCCTCATTATCATAACATGACATATCTGACTTCCTTCTGTGGAAGCCAGATAGGAGAATACGTCCATGGAATATTTCAGTTGTGATGAATGTGAAGCTTACGTGATGTATTATATTAAGGATTCCAGAGAATACAAAGTTTTGCTTTCCTCCTTCACTTGTTATACTTGACCATCATCTCATTCACAAATTTAAAAATTTGTCCCTGTGAACTGTTTCTTAAGCCCTCCAAAAGGAATTGAAAGACAATGATGCTGAAGGCTGACAGTAATACCATGCCTTATATTTGAGGGCTTCGTTAGTGCTGGGCTGAGCAATGTGTTCTATATGGCTTGTTTCATTTCATCTGCATAGCATTACACAAGTCATAATTACCCAATTCATTTTGAAGAAAATAAAGCGTATCACAATATTTTCCCGGGAGCCTACGCCAGGGCCGGAAGCAGCGGAGCAGCCGATAGCCGAGGCAGGGAGCGCGGGACCGGAGGCGGGGGGCCGGCGGGGCGCCCTGGCGCTGGGCCCTGGCTGGGCTGTGGCTGGCAGCGACCTTGGGCTGCATCCAGGGCACGGGCGGCCGCGCGCGACGCCACTGGCCTGTGCCCTACAAACGTTTTTCCTTCCGTCCACAGCCAGACCCTCACTGTCAAGCTAAATACACCTTCTGTCCCACTGGCTCGCCCTTCCCAGTTATGAAGGGCAATGATGTCGTTGAAGTCTTTCGACTCCATGCGCCAGTTTGGGAATTTAAATATGGAGACCTCTTAGGACACTTGAAAATTATGCATTATGCTGCCGGATTCAGGAGTACATAAACTGGCAGGAACTACACCATGGAATGGTATAAGCATTTCCAGCTTGGCAACTGTACGTTTCCCCACCTCCGACCTGAACTGGATGCCCCTTTCTGGTACAATCAAGGAGCTGCCTGCTTTTTTGAAGGAATTGATGATAACCACTGGAAGGAAAATGGGACATTAGCTCTAGTAGCAACCATATCAGGAAACACCTTTAACAAGATGGCAAATTGGGTGAAACAGGATAATGAAACAGGGATTTATTATGAGACGTGGACTGTCCAAGCCAGCCCAGGAAAAGGGGTGGAGACATGGTTTGAGTCCTATGACTGTTCAAAATTTGTATTAAGGACATTTGAGAAGTTGGCTGAACTTGGAGCAGAGTTCAAGAAGATAGAAACTAATTATACAAGAATATTTCTTTACAGTGGAGAACCTACTTATTTAGGAAATGAAACCTCTATTTTTGGGCCAACAGGAAACAAGACTCTTGCTTTAGACCTAAAAAAAATTTATTACCCCTTCAAACCACATTTGTCAACTCAAGAATTTCTATGGAGTCTTCTGCAAATCTTTGACTCAGTGATTATTCACAGACAATTCTACTTGTTTTATGATTTTGAATACTGGTTTTTACCTATGAAATTCCCTTTTATTAAAATAACATATGATGAAATCCCTTTACCTAACAGACACAAAACACTTCCTGGTTTATAAAAACCTTAATTCTACTATTTTTCTTTCTCCCACCACCACACCTCAGTTTTTCAGGGGGTAATTGTGAATTTTTGGATTTCTTAGCCTTTCTTTCCTTAGTTTCTTGCCTCTAAAATGACTGTTGTAAAGATTGAAGTCATGTATGTTCATCATAGGAAGGTCACAGGGAATGCACAGTAACATATCAGGACTGTAATGATTAATCAGAGAATGAAGGGTCACTCTTGATCTTGCCTAATGCACATTATAGGCAGACCTTTCCTGGGTTGTAATCAGATAGACTTTGAGCTGATAGTGTATGCTTCAGTGGTTCCTCAACTATCTGGGGCATAGAAGTGCCTAGCTGCAGCCATGGCTGAGTGAACAGGTACTTCTGACTCCCACCCTGCTTCCAGTAGCTCTAATGCAACCAGTGCAGTGGAATAGGGTGCCTCTCCCACAGAGGACAGGTTTTTCTCAGGGTCCTGCATTTTATGACAAACGGAACATGTTTTTCCTCTTCATGGAAAACACCAGTAAGATGATGGAGTGGAGATCAGAGAAAACAATCTATTTAATATGTAAATGGACCAATTATTCACTTGTAGCTAATACTTGAGGGCTTCCTAAGAGGTTAGTACATTATCATTGAGCTTTCACAAAGAGCCTAATCAAGTACTTAGCAAGGTTAAGTGACCTTTCCACAGCTACCCAGCTAGTAGTAATGGACTCAGATTTTTATCTCAGTTTCTGCTGACCGAATTGGATGCACCGTATGTTTTTTGGAGCTGCTGAAATTGTGGTCCTTGGACCAGTGCCTGTTTGCTAAATGTTACCTATCTACAAGGAAATACAGATATTGATAGGAAGCATTTAGAACTTTTAAAGAATTTTGTTGAGTAATGTGTTTCTGTTGAATCTAATAAATACTGGGGCTTGTATTTTGTCTTTATTTCATTTGTCTAACAAAAAAATAATAATAATATTTTCCCACACCCATTTTCAGGTTGTTAGTTATAAAAAGTGTTGAGATTTTGGAATTGGTGTTTTAGAATATAGACATGGGCTATCCTGGCAAATTGTCCCTTAAACAACCCGATGAGACATTTCACTTTTTGTCACTTCAGGGAAAGTTTCCTGAAGCATCATGGTTGTAATCTCAGGGAGTTCAGAGAGCAAAAACCTGGGTGGAGCCTGCTAAACCAAGCATAGAAAATGATGCATATATATGAAAGGACACAATATCAGAAGGAATATGCATGTGATAATTGAGCAAAGATTTCTTCCCCTTCCCTATATAACTGAACACTTTCTTCTTCATGCTTATAATACTTCTTCTTTTTTCAGAAAATTTGAGTGTTTTATTTATTTATTTTTAATTTTTATTTTATTCATATATGCATACAATGTTTGGGTCATTTCTCCCCCCTTCCCCCGCTCCCTCGCTTACCTCCCCTTACCCCTCACTACCCAGCAGAAACTATTTTGCTCTTATCTCTAATTTTGTTGAAGAGAGAGTACAAGCAATAATAGGAAGGACCAAGGGTTTTTGCTAGTTGAGATAAGGATAGCTATACAGGGAGTTGACTCACATTGATTTCCTGTGCATGTGTGTTACCTTCTAGGTTAATTCTTCTTGATCTAATCTTTTCTCTAGTTCCTGGTCCCCTTCTCCTATTGGCCTCAGTTGTTTTAAAGTTTCTCTGCTTAGTTTCTCTGCATTGAGGGCAACAGATGCTATCTATTTTTTTAGGTGTTTTACCTATCCTCATACCTCCTTTGTGTGCTCTTGCTTTATCATGTGATCAAAGTCCAATCCCATTGCTGTGTTTGCCCTTGATCTAATGTTCCCATAAGAGAGAGAACATAGTGATTTTTGGTCTTTTGGGCCAGGCTAACCTCACTCAGAATGATGTTCTCCAATTCCATCCATTTACCAGCAAATGATAACATTTTGTTCTTCTTCATGGCTGAATAAAATTCCATTGTGTATATATACCACATTTTCTTAATCCATTCATCAGTGGTGGGGCATCTTTACTGTTTCCATAACTTGGCTATTGTGAATAGTGCTGTAATAAGCATGGGTGTGCAGGTGCCTCTGGAGTAATCTGTGTCACATTCTTTTGGGTATATCCCCAAGAGTGGTATTGCTGGATCATATGGCAGATCAATGTTTAGATTTTTAAGTAGCTTGAGAGAGTTTTAAAATGCACTGCAGATATAATTGTGTTTAAGGTGGCAGTTACCTGCTTTAAATTTTCTGATATCCAGGCACAGTGTTGTACTTGGGGGAGGCAGGAGGACCCCAAGTTTGAACCCTGCCCAAGCAGAACTTTGTGACACTCTGCCTGAAGCACAAAACAAAACAAAAAATGGGGTTGAGGAATTAACTCAAGAGGTTGAGTCTTGCCAGGTGCCAGTCACTCATGCCTGTAATCCTAGCTACTGAAAATTCAGAGACCAGTAGGATCATGGTTCAAAGCCAGCCCAGGCAAACAGTTCATGAGACACTATCTTGAAAATAAACCCATCATAAAAAAATGGACTGGTAAGTAGTTCAATGTGTAGGCCCTGAGTTCAAACTCTAGTACTGCAAAAAGAAAGGAAAGTAGAGCCCTTGCATACTAAAGGTGATTAGTCCTTCAGTTAAATGACCAGTAGTGAAAAAAATTAAAGAAATCCTTTCTGACAGTTGAAACACAACTATCAATGACTTAGTAAATAATACCCGAAGGCTGACAACATAATTTTGATTTTATTGGTTCTGTTTGTTCTATTGCATAGAGCAGACTATATTTCTGAGTCTTAGTGTTGATATCAGAGGTGACTTCAAGTTGTGACAGCTGAAATGAGGAAGGATTAAACAGACATTGGTGCTCACTATGTGATTCCTATGTGTGAATATGTAAAATAAGCATGGAATTATATATGCAATTAATAGTTATAATTTAATATTCTTGCCATCCAATTATAATATCTTAGCTCTTGAAGTCATTGCTTAAATATTTCTCCAACAGGTCATCTTACATTTGTTCTTATATAAATATCTGTTCTATAGTTGAAGATGAATGCCTGCCTCTCTTTCATTTTGATTTCCCAGGCCCTTTATCTTGCTTAGCACACACAAGACATCAAATATAGAATGCTCTGTTAAACACTGAAAAGGTACTTCCTTGGTCCACACAAGTTAGGTGTGATCAGAGGGATGATATACTTAGTGCTTTTCTGCCTGTACTTTCACAATTTTCAGTGAGGTACAGCAGAATAAAGACAAAAAATGATAGGTCTTGTCTGTGTCTGGCCCCTAAAAGTTCATTTGACAGCATGTATTTTTTGATAATTCAAAATCATACAAGATATGTTCATGAGTATAAAAACCAAAGAAGATGCAGAAAGAGAAATAGGCAAAGAGACTTTATGTTTGAGCTGATTCACACTTTTGAATCCCATCAAACTAGACTTTGTTTGCTTTAACAATTGGTTTCAGCCATAAACTCACTGTTTTCATGAAAATGGATGTCTTTATCAGATATTAGGGTTCAAAAGAACATTTTGTGCCACCATGTTGTGAAAAATTAGTATTATTTTCCTTGTTCCCATTAAGCAGTATGAGAACCTGCCAGTTGAAAGATTTATACACATTTTGCAATATGTTGTCTTCCTAACTCTCTACTTGGACTCTCTCTTCTCTGTCAGAACCATATGGAAATATTTGCTATTTATATGTGTGTACATTGTTTGGGTCATTTCTCCCCCACCCTGCCCCCTCTCCCCACTCACTTCCAGGCAGAACCTGTTCTGTCCTTATGTCTAATATTGTTGAAGAAAATACATAAGCATAATGAGGAAGAGAAAGTGTTTTTGCTAGTTGAGTTAAGAGTAGCTATACAGAAAGATTCCTAGCATTGGTTGACTCTCTCTTCTCTGTCAGAACCATATGGAAATATTTGCTATTTAAGTTGAAATTGCTTGATCAATAGTCCTGCAAAGTTTGTTACTAGATACGTATAAACAATATTTTTTAATTATTCATTTATTACATGTGTGCACATTGTTTGGTCATTTCTTCCCCACCCTGCCCCTTCTCCCACTCACTTCCAGGGCCAACCTGTTCTGTCCTTTCTCTAATTTTGTGAAGAAAAAATAAGCATAATGGGAGAGAAGTGTTTTTGCTAGTGAGTTAAAGATAGCTATACAGAAAATTCTAGCATTGGTTTCATGTAAAATGCTTAACAATGTTTTGACAAGATACATAACAGTAATAGTTTTGGTTTATTATAACTGATTTTTCCTAATTGAGGCACAAATATATCTGAACTATGTAAAAAAACATGAATTGTGGAATTCAAATAACTTCTCAACCACATTAGGTGAAAAATTTATTATGTTGATATGGAAGGAGATGAAAGGTATTGAAAATTTGCGAAACATAAATTGTCTATTTAAAATGATGATCCTCCTTCAAATAATGCTTTTTTATCACTTAAAGCATTTGAAGTTGATGTATATACTTCACAGAGAAAAACATAAACCAATATAAATGTAATGTTAATAATACATTCTGAAGAATTAGATCTTTTAGTTGTAGACTACTTAGAATGGTTTTTGCATACATTTTAGATAATCCTTAAAGAAAACACATATGGCTACAGATAAGTACAAGCTTGTTACAACATTGATGTACAAATATACCCATTTCATTCCACACACAGGTTTCTTTGGGGGGACCGGATTGAGACAATTATGTGGGAGAATGGAATCATGCAGCAATAACAACAACTCAAGTTTTCAAAAATGACAGTTTAAATGTGTCAAAGTGTAATTTTTATTCATCCATTTTAAAAATATTTATTTAAAATATGAGGCAGTATATGTCCAGCAATCCACTCCTGGGGCTATACCAAAAGGAATGAAACACAGGTTACTCCAGAGGCACCTGCACACCCATGTTTTTGCAGCACTATTCACAATAGCCAAGTTATAGGAACAACCAAGATGCCCCACTATGATGAATGGAA